ACCAAAAGGAAAAACTGTGTAGCTGATCCATGCCATCCAATAAAGTGTATTGATTTTATCCAGGTCCTGCCCAGGAAGCTGCTGGTTGGCTAGGACTTGGAGATCCTCGATGCCCACTCTGGTCCATGCCTTGTCTGCCATTGATGGACAGAGCCTCCTAGATTGAGGAAAAGAAAGAACCACCTCTAATGTCTCTCTTTCAGAACTTTCTTATTTCTTTCTTACCGAGATCAGGGAGCATTGCCTGCTGTTCCTGTGCACAGCCCCAGGCCCCGTCTTTGTTTATGCAAACACGTGTGGAATGTTGAGGACCTGCAGGGCTGGATTCCTTCAAGTCTTACTAGCTTAAGGGCTCCTATCTGCTGTCTCACACATCCATTACTGCCAGCTCCCTGCCAAGAGTTTGAAATCATTAAATGTCTCAGTTCCCACGGCATATTTTTTAAATTATTTCTAGTGAAATCCTCAATTTAAAAATGGTTCACCAGCATCTTATTAAAGGTGCATAGTATTTTGAAAATTCTGCTACACAGAGCGTGCCGTGGTGCACGTCTGCCTGGGGAACGTCAGGGCTGTGCAGAATAGAACATCCTCAGAACCTCTGAAGAACAGTAGCTGGAGTTCCTTGTGTGTATGTGGTGTTTTTAGTTTTTTTTACCACCTCCATTCTTTTCACTGCTTATTTGCATTTCCAGGTTGCAACCTGGAGAGGGAACATCTTAGCCCTTGGGAGGTGGCTAGCTCACTTGCATTGCCTGTGTAGTTTATGAACGTGACTGTGTGAGTCAGTCTGGTCGTGTTCTTTTTCCAGAGTGTGTCTGCAACTCCCTGGGCACCGTGCAGGACTACTGTAACAGCTCCGACTGCCAGTGCGACAAAACCCCCGGCCAGTGTCCGTGTCTTCCCAATGTGGTCGGGCAGAACTGCGACCGCTGTGCCCCCAATACCTGGCAGCTGGCCAGCGGGACTGGGTGTGACCCATGCAACTGTGATGCGGCTCATTCCTTCGGGCCGTCCTGTAATGAGGTGAGGTGCTGTGGGGGGCGGGGTGGGGCGGGGAGGCCTCAGGGCTGAGGAAAGATGCCTCTATGAATCCAGGGGACCGCTGTTTGGTGCCTTTGTGTCAGAGAGAGGAAGGCTCCTTCCTGGTGGCCCAGCTTTTCTTGCCGCAGGACCCACAGCTTGGCAAACATAGCACAGACTGCCTGTCAGCCGTCACTTGTTCCCCTCGGCTGGGGCATCACCATACCTGGAGGCCCCATCCGATGCAGCCGTGGCCTTTTAATAGAGGGCCCCCCCTCCCCCTGCTGCCGACCCACATTAGAAGGTCCCTGGCTGCTGGATCAGACTGCTTCCTTAGCCACATGGCCTGAAAAGGCAGCCCCGGCAGCACTGTCAGAGCTGCTCAGGGACACACCCTCGGGAAGGAAAGGAGGGCTACCCGGCAGGTGAGCCCAGGGGCCTGTCCGTGAGGTGAAGAAGCATGTAATGAGATGTGATGTGCTCGGCACAGGGGCAGCTAGCCCCTGGCACCCAGGACAGAGGTAGGACTCCCTCTCCAGTCAGGGTGTGGAGGCCTCAGGCCAGCTGCTCAGTCCCATTCCCCTAACTGGCAGCCAGGAAGGAGAGTGTGACGGGCGTGTGCCCTGCAGCCCGCTGACGGAGACCTGTTTCTGGCTGCAGTTCACAGGGCAGTGCCAGTGCATGCCTGGCTTTGGGGGGCGCACCTGCAGCGAGTGCCAGGAGCTCTTCTGGGGAGACCCCAACGTGGAGTGCCGAGGTAAGGCCGCGGCTGGTGTTTGCTCAGAGTGGAGGGAACAGCTTTGTGTAAACTCTAAAGTGCAGCGCAAATTAAGTTGTCGATACAAACTCTATGTTTAATGACAAAATGAATTCACACTCATTGGTTTAAAAATCTAACAACCTGGCCCTGTGGAAGTGTGGGTAGTGAAAAATGGACCTGCTGTGTTCCTCCTTAAAATGCTTGTTTGTCTCTGCACAGACTCACACACACACACAGGTATCACAGATACACAAAATTGCTTCTTAAAATGCTTTTCTGCAAAATGCTTATAGCAGCCAGGTATTTCGATAAACTGGTAAACCCTCAGCGTTGGTACCATGTGCAGCGTCCCCGCGACGGGGAACTGCAGGGCACAGTCACGGGTGCCTTCATGCACAGCAAGGCAAACAGGACAGGCGCTCCAGGTCTGTCGATGTGAATAAAGCCCAGACTCCTACCGAAGCTTCTGGTAGAATAGGACTGGGAGAGAGAACCTGACATTTTGTTAAGAACAGAAACCTGTTAAAATCCTGTGAATCATTAGGATTGCTCAAGTCTTATGCTGTAGCAGTATATATTTTTTTGACCTGCCAGATTACTTTTCAGATATGGGAGTAAAAACATTTACAGAAAAGATTTTAAAAGATTGTGTCTATTCTGTTTTCCTATTTGGCTTTCTTCCCTATGTTTTAAGTTTACAGCTATAGATAAATATCTTCTGTAGTTTCATACTTGTTCTTTGATATCTTTTCTTTGTTACATATCTGAAATTCTGGGTCCCTGTTGAACTCTAAATTTAAAAATTATCTTTTTCTTTCTTTTCTTTTTTTTAATTTACAGAATACTTGATTAGTTTCTGTAATCAAACCCAGGTAGATTAAGACCTTACATATTTAATACAGTGTATTATCCCTGTAAAAATGGGAAAAAAATTATGTTTAATGTATCTTTTTCTTTTTTGGGTACAACCGTAGTGAGAACGTTAGCAGTACATTTCGTTTTCTCCTACCGAAGGTCACAGACCCAGATACTATGTGTTCTTTAAGTCAACCACGGTTCCTGAACAGCAGGAACATTTCAAACAGTGGACAAGACCAGAACAAAGGGCATATGACTTGTTTCTCCAATTGAGGCTTAGCCAGAAGGACTTGGACCAACATCTTAAGTTAGGTTAGGGTTTGTTCCACAAAGGACATGATGTTTGCTGTGTCAATAAACAAGGCCTTTTTCATTCATCGGTCCTCGGTCCAGATGTTGGTTTTAATGGGAGCTGATTTTCTCACTACCATTCAATGCCCAGGACATGCCATGCACCACGTGCGCCAAGATATCTCCTGCGAGGAAAACCCTGCTTGGAATCTGGTTTCCCCAGAGTTCTAACCGCTATTCTGCTACACCCCTCAATCTTGTAATGGCCCTAAGGTCCCAGCGGCTTGATTTCCCCCAGATAATGGCTCTATCATTGCTCATACCCGATTCTATTAGCATGTGTCACTGGGAAAATCGCGTTGGCTGCCAAAGCGTTCTGACCTTTTCGCTCCATCTCAGCGCAGTTCGCATGAAAAGCCTGTGACCGGAGCCAGAGTCCATCAGAGAATGGTCCATTTAGTACTCGGATCTTTACCCTTTATCTTTAAAGTCTTGGCTCTCAACCTGCCAGAAAAATTGTGGCGTAGGAACAGTGTCAGTTTTATTTGGGTCAAAAGTTGATCATGCTTTGGAAACTTTGCAAAGAGCGAAAGCCACGAACTGTTTGCCAAACTCGTTGTTTTGCCCAGAAAAAAGGTCAGTCCGTTACATAAGAAACTTGGGGCCCAGATGCCTCTGACACCCTGTGGAGGAAGCTCTTGGTTCAGAAAGTGTCCAGCGGGAGTGAGAAGTGACTTAACCCCGGGCAGGCCCCGCGCAGAGCCGTGTGCCGGGAGGCAGTAGGAGCAGGACCAGGGCAGGGACCAAAAATGCAGAAGCGGATGGAGTCGGGGCTCTCCGTGCACTGGGATGTCGTCACTCATGGTAATGGGAGGACAAGAACTTGAAGGGACTGGACCCCCAGTGATCGGCAGGGACCAGAATGGTTATCGTTGGAAATTAGAGGGAACTATGAGAAAAGAATGCGACCCCTTTTCTCACATTACATAATGAATCGCCAAGTTGTCTTCAACTTCAGATCTTCCAGTCGAACAGGGCACGGGTTTAGACTTTGTGGTGCCACCTCAGTCACAATAACCTTATAGAGAGCCGAGGCCCTCGCTAAGCATTCTCCTCGTGGAGGAGAAATGCCGTTACGTAAAAGACAAATCAGTAGAGGCTCCAACATATAAATTGTTGAATGTTCCTATTGTCCGGGCGGGTTGAGGCGCTGGGCCGATCGTGCCAAGTCTGAACAAGCCCACCACTGTGCTGGGATGGAGAGAGAACGCGCCCGCCCACGGCTGACCATGTCAGAGACAACCTCAGCCTGAGCTCTGCGCCGGGCCCCTCGGAGTCCACGGGTCAATGAGGAACCTCTCTGTGGACCCAGAGAGAGCAAAGAGTCGCGCGTCTTGGGAAAGGCCAGTGTTCCTTCCACCCGGGCAGGCGGGAAATGTGGGCCAGAGGTGGGACGCTCTGGGCAGTGGCCGTCATGCTTGTTTCTCATTTCACATGTTTTAAGTCGAAAAATGAAGTCCATTTCTTTGGTCGGGCATACATTTTTAGAATTTTGTATTCCTTTCTCGGCCTGGGATTCATTTACAACCCCTTTATCCTTTATTTATTGTCAGTGTGACTCAGGAAATCAGATTTAATTTGGTTCTTTAGAGAATCACCATACTCTTGTTAGTAGAGGGAAGGGTTGTCTTACATAATTCTGGTCACAGGGCATGGTCCCTGAAGAGCTGGGCTGTGCCAGAGGCAGGCAAACCATGGCCAGGTGCCAAGTACAGCTAACTGTCTGTCAGTCAGGTTTCATTGGGCAGAGCTGTGCCCGTGTGTGACGAATTGTCCAGCGCTGCCTTCACGCTGCAATGCCAGAGCTGAATAGTGTGACGGAGACCAACTGGCCTGCAAAGCCTAAATATTTACTATCTGAGCCTTGATAGAAAACGTTTGCTTACCCCTGGACCAGACGGCCAGCTGCTTTCTGCAGGTGAAATCGTAGTCACTCTCCAATTTTCATTCCAAAACCGAAGTTATATTACTGAGGCTAAAAAGGAGGCGGGGTGGAGGGAGGGAGAGGATGTAAAGCAAAAAACAACACATTTAAGAGATTAAAAATTTTACATTTCCTGCGCTTACAGTAGAATGGAAATGCCGAGGTAAAGTGTCAGTGAAGTTTTGGGCATGATACCTGGAGTCCCGTGTTACTTTGGGACAAGGTTGCTGGCAGAAAAGAATGGACCCCGTTTCCTGGTGGTTGGATGTAGCACCTACCCTGGCCCTGGTGGGTTTGTTTCAGAAGGAAAGGTAGAGAACCAACACAGCCCTGAGCGCGGCCCACTGGGCCTGCAGGGCGTGGACACACGAGACAAGCTGCCACCTGAACCGGAGGCACTTGCAGGCTCTCTGGGGAAACGGGGCAAAGTAGTGCAATGGAGGGGGAAGAAACCTGTGGCGGAGACCTTTTTCCCTGTCAGAGAGGCCAGACCAGCAGGAGCTAAAGTCGTCGGGCAAGGTTTCATAGGAAAGGTCAGCTGTAGTCGTTGACTGCATTTGCCGTGTGCTGAGGGCTTTTAGGGATATGGGATGCAAATTCTTGATTTTATCCTTAAAACAATTTGTGAGTGAAGTGTAATCTCCGTTCCACAGTCTAGAGCTCTCTCAGGCTCAGAGAGGTGAAGTGATTTGCCCAAAGACAAATGCAAGTGAGGACCTGCTGTGATATTTAGAGAGAGAGAACTGTTGTTCTGGCTAAAGGACCGTGAGGACAGCATGTAGCAGCAAGACTGGGGTGGGAGGGGTGCCCCCAGGAAACGGTTTCACTGGACAGAGTCACGGAGAGATTCGGCTTCACCAGATTGTGAAAAGCCTTGTATACCAAGCCATGGAGGCGGACTTCCTTCAGTGGGCAGAGGAGGGCTGGAGAAGTGAGGACGGATTAAAAAGCAGAAAGATTCTACCTACTGACAAAGAGGTCCATTGGTTGTTTCCCATTCTCGCATTGACTTACTAGGGTTCCCCCCCCCCCCCCCCGCCCAGGCCTCAGTATCTATTAAATGGTGCAATACTCTTCATTTCCCTACCTTTCAGAGAGCCGGCTTGAAATGATAAGAAAACTTAGTAAAAGTGGAGGAAATCTACTGACCCCGTAACCAAGAATATATTTACAGATGAAGGTGGAATTCTTATGGCCCATTGAAAATGACTGTCTCGTTTTCAAAGTGCTATTCTTCATCATCCTGCTTGGTTCACTTTTGCTATATACTCTCTCCTTCTTTCCAAGAGAAAGTTTTTGATCCTCTGCCCCCAAATCCCATTTCTTAAAGCAAGGCTGAGCCACAGGTCCACCTGGTCGCCTCTCCCTTTCCCTTGAGAGAGGGGAAGATCCCCTGGAGCTCATCCGAGATGGTCTGCACTGTGCAATGTTATAGAGGCCCGTGAGTGTAAGAGATGATCGGAGCGTCTCCTTCATAGTATGTGTCCGTGAAGTTTTAAATTGTCAGATGAGAAGCAACCTTTCCACTTCAGTCAAAAAATACTCTTGGGGCGTCTTTTTACCCGGTTGGAGAAGCAATTCTGGTCAATAGGCAGGGAAGGAAGCACATGTCCTCAGGAGCGTTAGCCGTTTCCCAGCTGCAATTTGAAATGAAAACCTTATGCATGTTAGACATTTGGTATCTTTCCAGAGAGAGATCAGAATCAGTTTTTCATTGATGAAACTGCAGTCCAGCCATCTGTGAAATTTGACTCTCTACTTTTCAAATGAAGGAAAGGAATGCTGGTCAGTTCAGCCGAACTGGTCCTTGTCTACTGGAAATAGCTGAATTCCTGCCGGCCCTTCAGAATACTGCTCTTAAAGGGACAGGATCCAGAGATCGGCAGGAACAAGAATAGGTGTCACCCCAAATTAGATGGAGTATGGGAAAAGAATGTGGCTGCTTTTTTCAAATTACGTAGTTAATTGCCAAAAATGTCCAGTGGAATCGTTTGTTGAACAGAATTTTAGACCTTCTGTTGCCACCTTGTTAGCAATATGTTCATGGAAAGACTTAAACCATAGCCAGGTATCCTCCTTATGGGGAAAAAACATGGTTATGTAAAAGACAAATGAGGAAAACCTTAATGGGAGTGCACTTGCCTTTTCTTTATTTTTTTAAATCCTCACCCAAGGATATGTATGTCTTTTTTTTTTTTAATTGATTTTTAAAGAGACAGGAAAAGAGAAACATCAAAGTGAGAAACATTAATCAGTTGCCTCCCTTACACGCCCCAACCGGGGATCTCGTCCACAACCTAGGTATGTTCCCTGACCAGGAGCAGAACTCGCAACCTTTTGGTGCCCGGGCCAACACTCTAACCACTGAGCAACACCGGCCAGGGCTATGACCACTCTTTTTTCTCTTCATCCAATGGAAATGTGATCAAGCAACACTTTGAGCAGGAGACCACCTGGTGCTTACATGGACACAGAAAGTAATAGTAATAAAAAGCATTTACTGAGTGCCTACTGTGAGTCAGCCCTTCCCTGAAGCACTTTAGAATTAAGTTATTTCATCCTGAAAGCAATCCTATGAGTTAGGTATACTCATGACTCCTTTTTTACAGATAAAGAAACTGTGACTCAGTTTCCTTGCCACCCAGGGCCACATTGCTGGGGTGTGGGGATGGCAGGGTTCACAACCAGGCAGTGGAGCCCACAGGCTGTGCTCTGACCACGACACTGTACTGCGCAAACTTGCCACTCCAGCACTTGGGTGTACTTGGCCAACAAAGGCAATGAAAACAACCAATAATATAAGGCAGGATGTAGGGAGAATCAGATGCAGGGTCCCAGGCTGCAAACACATCTCTCTGAGTTTGGAGGATAGAGGTGCTGTGAGCAGCTCTTAGGACGTCAGTGAGACTGGGTCTAGAGTAGACTCTAGGCAGTGGTTCTCAACCTGTGGGTCGCGACCATCGGAAAACACATATAGCATATCAGATATTTACATTACGATTCATAACAGTAGCAAAATTATAGTTATGAAGTAGCAGCGAAAATAATTTTATGGTTGGGGGTCACCACAACATGAACTGTATTAAAGGGTCGCGGCATGAGGAAGGTTGAGAACCGCTGCTAGAGGATGTTTCAATTAGGGAGTCTTTCAGAGGCAAGTCATTGCTATTGGCCCAAGAAGATTTTATAAAGGCATCTGAGAGAGTATGGGTCTGTTGTGCTGTGGTCACCGTTGACATTTTAGGAGGATTATTTTCTTTTATAGAGGCGTGTAAATGTCCCTCGAATGCCTGTACCAGAAATGAGGTCAGGGCCTCATTTGGCAAAGACGACAGCTCCAGTTTGCAAGTTAACCCTGTGCTCGGTGCTGAGAATGGAAATAGGGCCCTGGAATCCTGTCTAGTTATGGAAATAAGACATTCGGGTTGCTTTTCATTAATCCACACCTTTTATCAGAAAGGATTTAAGGCAGAGATCAGATGTGTGCACAGGTTTTTTGTTATTTAAATTCTATGCAAATACTCAGAAATGTCAAGTGTTGACACAAAAGTAAGTTTTTCACCTGAGATTTGAGACTGTAAGCCAGGGGTCAGTGGCACGGGCATTGTGATGAGTAATCTCAGCCACCATCCACTGGCCAGTCTTCCTCGGCACCATCAGGCTCTGCCTAAGATGCAGCCCGCCCAGCCAGGGAGAGGGTGGGACTGGAGTGGCTTCCATCACTGACCTCTCGAGAGCCTGAGCTGTGAGCGGTCATTAGTGGCAGCTCCCACAAGTTAGATTGTCCTTAGTAGAAAGCCTTTGAACTAGATCCTTAGGATTCCCGTGACTTGTTTCGGATTTAGTTTCCTTTTAATCGAGTTTATTGCATTTCGCCAAGTATTCACCATTCTGTTTCGTGACCAGGTAGGGCGAGGTGTTAGGAGCTGCTCTTCAGTGTTGTATCTTAGGCCAGATGCCTCCTGGCATCAGGAAGTCACCTGACTTGTCTGTCCTGATAGGGTCTAAAGGGAAGCCCCAGTAAGGGGGAGGCAGAGGCAGGACAGAGCTTAAGAGCACAGACTCTTGAGTTGCAAAGGGCTAAATCTGAACCCATTTCAGCCATTTCCTTGCTGTAAGACCTGAGGCAGGTCACCCGTCCCACAGGGTTATTGTGAGGGTTCAATGAGACAATGCATGTAAACCATTTCTACAGAGCCCGCACAGTAAGCATAACCTTAAAAAATGTGCACTATATGGCGGCAAACCAGTTGCAAAAAAGCCATAATCTACTTTTAAAACTTCTCCACAGCGGGACCGATTTCAAATTATCATGGGAGAGGGCAAAGAAGTGATTCAACACAGTGCACCAAGGCCTACCAGGGGTGGAAAGCAGTGGTCACTACCCCCCACTGCACACACAGCTACAATTCATTGGGCATAACTGTCCTTTTTAAATACAGCTTCCGCCCGGCCGGTGTGGCTCAGTGGCTGAGCGTTGATCTAATCACATGCCTGGATTACGGACTTGATCCCCAGTAGGGGTCCTGCAGGAGGCAACCAATCAATGATTCTCTCTCATTGATGTCTCTCTATCTCCCTCCCTCTCTGAAACTAATAAAAATATATTTAATACTAAAGGCAAAAAAAAAATTGCACTATTTACTGTTACGTTACGTTACGAAGTGGTCAGCAAGGACTGAGGTAATGCAGGTTTTGGAGGAAGCTGCTACGGTCTCTCCAGGAAAGCTGTGGTCATGGATGATTGTCACCTTGCCATTGTGACGGTGACTGAGGGTTCTGAATGCCAAACCTCGTCCCTGGGGTTTGTGACCTAGTAGATCAGCTAGCACTGCTCTTTCCCTTCTAGCCTGTGACTGTGACCCCCGGGGTATTGAGACGCCGCAGTGTGTCCAGTCCACCGGCCAGTGTGTCTGCGTCGAGGGTGTCGAGGGCCCGCGCTGTGACAAGTGCACTCGAGGGTACTCGGGGGTCTTCCCTGACTGCACACCCTGCCACCAGTGCTTTGCTGTTTGGGACGTGATCATCGCTGAGTTGACCAACAGGACCCAGAAGTTCCTGGAGAAAGCCAAGGCCTTGAAGATCAGTGGTGTGATCGGGCCTTACCAGGAGACTGTGGACTCGGTGGAGAAGAAAGTCAATGAGATCAGAGACATCCTGGCCCAGAACCCAGCTGCGGAGCCGCTGAAAAACATTGGCAGTCTCTTTGAGGAAGCAGAGTAAGTAGTGAATGAGCGTGCGTGAGAGGTCAGTGTTGTTTCAGAGCCGGCTTGGCGTGGGGCTTCCATCACAGGCATGGCTAGTCCTGTGAGTGAAAGCAGATGCTGGGCCACTCATTTCCCAGCAGTCTCTACTCTGGGCCTTGGGCGTGTGCACGTTGGCACATCATGGGGACCCAAACTGTGGAAGCTGCAGTATAGAACGTGCACGTGATACTCAGCGTTCCTCCTTGCAAATGGTGCTCTCAGGCAGCTGCACGGCAAGAACACTGGTTTCGGAGACAGAGGACCCCTGAGGAGTCAGCCCGGTTACTTGCCAGGCTGTGAATTTGAATGACTCACCTATTCCTGAGCTGCTTTTCTCCCCTGTGGAGGAGGGAAGAATAATGTTTGCCTTTTCCTTTCAGAGTAGCAAAAAGAGTGATCTCTGAAATGGTTAATGTAATTGCAGAAATCATTATAAATATACATCGTTTTATATGTTTTGCAACTACCAGGGAAATTCCATTACCACAGATAAGACTGTTATTTCCGCTGCTCAGCCTTTGGTCCCCTGGAACAGTGCTTCATTCATCCAATTATAACAATTCCCTGCAGTGAAAGATCCTCCTCGTAGCCCTCTCTGGGTAATCACCTCTCTGACGGGAGAGTGTATTTTGCCGGTGGAAGCGGAGAGCTGAGTGGTGCCAACTCCGCAGGGTCCATGCTTCTCCTCGCCATCTCTCTCCTGCTCTGAAATGTTCCAACTACCTTTGCCAAAAAGGACCCCCAAAACCAGCACAACGAGATCTAGGCTGAGGAACAAAACAGGAAAGGGCAGGAAGCATTTGTTTCCCCAAATGCTGTTTTCTTTACTGCAGATTTCACCATTTAGTGTGAGCAAAGGGAATGTTTCATAGCTAAGTCCTATACATTGAAGTGATTTTACATTAGGACAAAACGACAGTAACATTTTTTTTATGGGACTTTAATCAGCATCTCTAAGAAGCCAAATGGACTTTTCTTCTCGACGCTACCTGTGAGTAGCAGGCAGGGAAAGCTGACGTTAGCTCATGTACCTGGTAGGAGGTCCTTCCTAGGCCTTCTACATTCAAAGTCCTTTGATGTCAAACCTCAGGTTTTGTGTCCAAGACCATGTGGTTGACCGGGCTGTTAGGAAATGTCCATGTGGGGCGATAATGCCTTTACTGAGGAATTTTGCCTTGTGAAAAGGCTGGAGCGGCCCAGCCTCCTAACGTAGTGATGGGTTTTAGAAGGCTGTGTGCTGAGTGCGAGCCCATTTAGGAAATGGTTCTTGGCCTTGGTCTCATGCAGCTAAGGAAGAACGAAAAACTGGTGCCCTTCAGCCTGTCAGAGGAGCGTTTACATTCCCGAAGCAGCTGCTTTACCCTCACTAGTCAATTCACAGATAGATTGTAAGCACCTCGGGGAAACTGGGTTCATGAATCTTTTCTCAACACAATATACAAGGATGCATGTTTCAGGTTCCAAAGTGGCATTATTTAAAAATGTGCAATATTTTTAATTGTCACATTGTATGAGACTTACGAAATGAAAGCCTTCTGCCAATCAGCAGATTGGTAGTAAGAGCAAAGACTGAAAAACTATAATAGCCTGGGGAAAACAATCATTGGGCTGATAAAATGTAGTTGAACCTAACAAATCCTTTTAAGTGCTTTTTCTCTGAATTGGGCCATGGCATCTCAGCCTTAAATTCCATTATTTTCTAATGGCCCCCAACCTTTCAGCATCTCTCCATTTTCCCAGTTTTTTATACTATTATATCCCTGAAAAGACAATTATATTCAATTGGTGACTCAGTAATACCCAGAGCTAAGCTCGCCTCCTCAGAGATTACTTTTTTTGTGATGTATGTGCACGTACATTGTATATATAAGTAGGTGCCTCAGGTACAGCTTTGAAGATATGAAGATACAGAATGAAGTGCAGTTGGGTTTAGATCCCAGTGAAATGCTGTGAAAGCTAAATGTTGATCATATTTCATTCTCCGTAGATACTACCTTCTTTCTCCTGTGAAATGAAAGGGTTGCTTGTTGGTGGAAGGAGGAGGCTCCTTCGCTGGGCCCTTGCCTACGGGGGGACCGTGTGGAAGGCAGGGTGGCTCCTGCCGACTCCCTGCGGGCTCTGGGGCTTTTGTCCTGCATGTCCCATCTTGAAGGAGGTCCCTGAGGTTGGATCAGAGCATTTCCGGTGGTTGGCTGGGAGGCATACTTCTACGCTTGGAGTCCCTTAGTCTCTCGAGTTTGAGAGACTGTAAGGACTTGAAGCTGCTCACCTACCGAACTGGGCACGTGCTCATGTTACAGCAGAGGTTCGGCATCCTTCACATGGCCCACCCGCCACCGCACAGCTCGGCGGTGCTTCTGTTTTCCTTCAAAGTCCTTGAAGAAAGAAAACTGTTATATGTCATACAATCTCTTAACGATAAGGGGAATAAAACCAGAATTTAGAAATAAATTGTTACCAACTCCTGACCTGGTTTGAAATCACCGTAGTAGAAAATGTAAAAAGGTTTATTTTACTTGGATAAACTTACCCTTCTCTTTGCAGGAAACTAACCAAAGATGTTACGGAAAAGATGGCTCAAGTTGAAGTGAAATTATCTGACATAGATTCACAAAGAAACAGCACAGCCCAAGAACTGGACTCTCTCCAGGCCGAAGCAGAGAGCCTGGACACCACGGTGAAAGAACTTGCTGAGCAACTGGAATTCATCAAAAACTCAGATATTCGAGGTGAGAGTTTTCCGTGCAAGCACTCAATCCTGGACATGGATTTAACCTTCTGTGCAACCTCTTTCATACAGTACTTCCAGAAAAAAAAAAAAATTAAGTGCCTTCTAACAATGTTAAAGCTTTTCCTCATTGTCTCTGAACCAAATGAGGACTGAAGTTTCCATTTTACAAACGTGGGACCTGGGCCACAGAGAGGCTGAGGCCCAGCAGAGGTCCCAGGGAGTAGCAGCGGTCGCTTCATTAGAATGGCATTCGTTTCCTGATTTTTTTCAGTTAGTGGTTTAACCTCCTGGGCTTCTCTTGGAAAGAGGCTCTTGAGTAGTTAAGAAATTAAGTTGATACTTCTGCTAACCCTTTTACATTTAAGAATGTTGGTTAGTCAGGAAATAATTTTGGCCAGTCCTTCATTTACTGTTATCATAGTATAGTCTAAATAGGACCACCCCCAAAAAAGCAAAAGGAAGTAGAAGTATGTCAAGTCACACTATCCATGCTGTTTAATACGTGATCACTTATTGCTGGGCTAGGTCCTTAAAGCCAAGACAGCCACGCTGCTTTATGTATACAGGACTAGCCCTGCGAGTGCATCTAATGACTGAGAAAGGGGGACATTAGTTGGAAACGTAATCTGCAGGCTGCCTGACGCCAGCTGTTTAGAAAGAACTGGATGCTTGCCTGTATAGAAGCAATTCAGCAGGGTGACTTAATTTTTCGTTCAGATGTTCAGCGTCCTCCAGAGCCAGAGTAGGAGGCTTTAATGGGACAGTCTATTCATTGACCATGACAGAAAAGTTCTATTTCTCAATGAAGATTTTATTTTTTGCATTTTAAAACAAACCATACAGTACCTTTAGGCTGGAAGACACCACAGATAGACATTGCTTAATGAGATTGAGTACAAGGGGATTCACTGTGGGCAATTTGATTTCGTGCCCTAGGCGCCCTGGATAGCATCACCAAGTATTTCCAGATGTCCCTAGAGGCAGAGAAGAGGGTGAATGCCTCCACCACGGACCCCAACAGCACGGTGGAGCAGTCGGAGCTCACCAGAGAAAGCGTGGAACACTTGATGATGGAGCAGGAGTCCCAGTTCCGGGAAAAACAAGAGGAGCAGGCCCGCCTTCTGGACGAACTAGCAGGCAAACTGCAAAGTCTAGACCTTTCAGCTGCTGCCGAAATGGTAAGGGTTAGGGGGCTTGGCCTCAAAGCTATGGTGCTAGAGGAGGAAAAAAACACCCTGCTTAGTCTTTAATATTGTTCACTTTGCAAATGAACCAGGAGTGGTCCCATCTCTGAACACCAATGTGGGGTACCATGACTGAACCAGATTAAAAACAAGGCTCTGTGCTTCGAATCTTCCTTCTCTCCAGGGGGTCTCTCTGTGGAACACCCAGAGAACCATGCCTGCTCTCACGTACTGTGACTTATTTAAACTTGATCCTTTTCATGCTGTGGACATTTCTTTTTTACTTGGTTCTGATTTGAAGTGCAAACTCCATTTTGGTAGAGCAATTCAGAATCATTCTGGGATTTCCTAAAAAAAAAAAAAAAAAATTAGAAAGAGCTAAAGAATTTTTTCCATGGGTGTTCATTAAAATGTTCCTTTGTTCCAGTAACTTTACCTGGTGAAGATTAACCCTGAGACCCGCCTAGAAAGATTGCATTTTCCAGAAGCTTTTAAACAGTAACTCTGGAGCCAAATGAAATTGAGTAGTAACTTTGATGAAAATCAGGCTGAAGGCCAAAAAAAGCCAAAGGGAGCCTGTTTCTTCCTCTTGATTCCTTATTGTTTTTCATGGATGAGTAGCTATCAGAGAATTTAGAGGGTACTTTCTTTACAGACTTTTATTTCATAAGGCTTATGCTCTCTTAGCTTAGAAATAGGGTCAGTGAAAAGAGGAAGGTAAGTGCCTAGAAAACTGTGAGAGCTCAGACCATTTGTTTTGTCTTAGTGATGGTCCCCTTTCCTCCCTGCCTGTCCTCACCGTCCCCCCGTTTCTCTGAAATGGACAAAAACACTGTCTGTGCTGTAGTGTGACTAATTTAATTGATGCCTAGAATATATACTCATTATTTCATCTAGTGGAAACAGGGAGTAAGTAATCCTGTCACTATTTAATAGAAAATGGAGGCCTAGAGCAATGTGTAAATTGCACCTAGTGGGAGACAGTTGTTATACGTAAGCATGAAATGCCAGTTCTTTCGATCTTCTTTGCTTTCAGTATTCCTTACAAATTCTAATAAAAACCCAGTAATCACAAAAAATCCGCAAACTAAAATGGAAAGCAGCTAAGCATGCTAAAGGATGTTTGCTTTGCATCAGAGAAAATCTTGGGAGTGGGTGGCGGTGGCAGGCTCCTCTGGCCATCTGAATGGGCACCCTTCCCTGTGCTTGCTTTTCCATGTGATGAGCTAGCTACCTAGGGATTAGCCAACCTCTTCTGGTCTCTCATGGTATGTGTTGATCTTAGTTAATTATTCTATGAGAACTCCATACTGCCACTTCCTGTCCAGGGAGATTTTTGTCCCTTTGTGTTTTTTCATGTGCCTTCAATTCTTTGTCTTTGTGTCTATTTAGCTAGACCCGTGCTGGTTTTTCCATGCCTGCCCTGTCTCTTGAAATAAAACAGATCTAATGTGCTGTCAGATTGTTTTTAGAAAGCATCCCTGAGATCTTATGCTGCTCTGATTAAAGCTGTGCTCTGTAGCACACAGAATAAATTTTATTTCTGCAGTTTTTTATGTACTGTAAACCAGATACATGAAAGATTTGAGAGACAATGGGGTTGTAATTATCACAAAATTATTAGTCTAAAGAGTTGATTTTATTTATTAAAAAAACTACTTTTTTACTTCTTAAAAAGAATACTTTCTGCCCTGGGCAGTGTGGCTCAGTTGGTTGGAGCGTCCTCCCATACACTGAAAGGTCACGGGTTTGATTCCCAGTCAGGGCACATACCTAGGTTGCAGGTTCAATTCCCTGTGAAGGTGTGTATGAGAGACAACTGAAACATTAGTTTCCCATATCAACGTTTCTCTCCGACTCCTCTCTCTCACCTCCCCTCTATCTTTAAAATCAATTTCCTTGTTTGGGAATATTCTGTTAACTGCTTTTCCCTGCAGTAAATCTTTTGCTTCTTTTTAGTACAAGCATTTTCTACGAAAGCTCTAAATACAATGTTCTTCCTGCTCAGCCCTTTACATCATACAGCAAACTTGTAATTTACCAAGTTGCCATGTCTATGCCATGACCAAGCTCTGATCTTTGGAGATTTTTGGTAGATAAGGAAGGAGGAAAGTCTATGGAGTGTTGCTTATTTGGAAAAGTTACATCCATCTTGGTTTCTACTGTTTTCTCTCCCTCTCACATCTGGAATGTTCCCCCATGTCCCCTGCTCAAATCCCACCAGCCAATATCCTTCCCCAACCACAACTACTATAGTCCTCAGTAGTCTCTCTTCTGTCTGCTGTCCTTCATACTTAACTACATCTGACCTATTCTTGGCTGCTTTATGATCCTGTCTTCCTAACTAGATGAGAAGCTACTAAAAGGCCAGGTAACAGGCCTTTTGTGTCAACCTATTCACCAGGACTAACATGGCACGAGTTTACAGAAGGTTCTCAATACCTGGGTTTTTGTGTGCTCTTTTTTAATCAAACTAGTTAGAGTACAGGGGTAGCATTCCGTGGCTCTCGGATTGGCGGGATTCAGTCTGAGCAGATAATGTTTGCACCCTGCACAGAGCCCAGCTGGTATTCCAGTTCATTAGGGCAGAAGGTACTGATGAGGGTTGTAAATTTTTGTTGTTTCCTTGCAGGAAAAAGCAGGTTAGTTTATTCCCTAAACTCTGTTCCTCTCTCCATCCTGCACCCTTGCTGAGGACCACCTACACACTCTCCGGGGCCACCCAGGCCCTGCCCAGCTGTTACGCTGCAGCACACTCACTGTCTGAACCTCACTCTCTTGGCTTGTTGCAGACCTGTGGCACGCCTCCAGGGGCCTCCTGCTCCGAGACGGAATGTGGTGGCCCCAACTGCAGAACTGACGAAGGACAGAAGAAGTGTGGGGGGCCTGGCTGTGGTGGTCTGGTCACTGCTGCGCACAGCGCCTGGCAGAAGGCCATGGACTTTGACCGAGACATCCTGAGTGCCCTGGCTGAGGTGGAACAGCTCTCCAAGATGGTAATTCAGCGGACAGCCTCAGTCTTTACTGTTTGTTTGCTTTCAATGTGGAGTGGAAGGTCTGAAAAGGAGAAACCAATTCAAAGTGCTGACTATTAAAAAAAAAAAAGGGCATTTCACACCACGTATGAAAGTGCAAGTTTTGTGAGATCAGGGAAATAGATGTTTAAGAATTTGCTTTCTTCTCATGACAATAATTTGAGATAATCATGTTACTTACCATGGGTGCAGGGTTATGAATACATCCAGCTGCACTACAAAAATTCTCTACTAAGCAACCAAGCATTTATTCTTCTAAAGTGATACATGAAGTCTTAAGTTCATATCAACTGAAGTATGTATGTGGGTACCTGAGAAAAAGACTAAGGAACATTTATAGGCCACCAAATGTTTTGAAGGAGTTAAAAACAACTAGGAAAAAATTCATATGCTGGCCCTACCTACATGAGAATACTATATAGGAATCTTATACTGAATACTTTCAGTCTATAAAGGAATATAATATGGTTAAATGGGAGATACTTGTTTCAAAAAGTCTTAATTCCAAATGCTAGTTTTTCAACATCATTTTTTGGACCATTTATAAAATTCTAGTCTGCTTGGAAAGAATGAAGTTGTCCCCTGGGTAATTTATTCCTCATGTTTAGGTCTCTGAAGCGAAACTAAGGGCAGATGAGGCAAAACAGAATGCTCAAGATGTTCTGTTGAAAACCAATGCTACCAAAGAAAAAGTGGACCAGAGCAATGAGGACCTGCGAAACCTGATCAAGCAGATCAGAGACTTTTTGATGCGTAAGGAATTTTTTCATTTTACTTTTAGATATTTCTTCCTATCTTGGAATATAAAAGTATTCTATAAGAGTATGTGTTTGGGAGGCCATAATTCAAATCTGCAGAGAAAATCAGTTTCTGGTGGGAAATAAAATAACATTTCCAAATTTAAAAATGTTTCCATTTCTTAAGTTTATCTATGTGTATGTCAATAATCTTGTCTGATTTTAGGCAGATAGAGACACACCTGATACCCAAGTAGCAAATCAAAAAGTGAGAGCCAATCATATACTGTGAGAACTGAATTTGAAAATTGTTAGAGATTACATATAATGTCGTTAGAACCTTAACTTGAAATAGAGTTTATTTTGGCATTGCCCCCAAAGCCTTGTAATGCTTTTATTTACAGGATATTAGACCTATGGTTAGACAGTTCTGTACCTTAAGTGTCTTGTAAAGAAAATCTCTAGAATTTGTGGTCTAGCACATAAGTATTGCTGTCGATTTGAGGGTTATCAGTTAAGTATAGTTTTGGCTACAAGTTACAGAAAACTCTCAACGGAAATGGACTTAATAAAAAAGATGTATAACATAACTTCAATAGTAGGATAGCTCTATGGTTCAAATACCCGTGTACTTTTCATCTTTTCTGCTCTACCATTTTAAGCACATCAGCTTTGTTCTCAGCCTCGCTGCTCCTGGTTACAAGGTGGCTGCCAAAGTTCCAGACTTCATATAAAGACACTGTGATATCTAATGGAAGACAAGACCACCTGTCCCTTTGTAGCATCTTTTTTAAAGGAATGAAGTATTCACCAGAACCCTCTGAGCAGTCATCTCCATAAATCTCACTGGCCAGAAATGAGTCCCATGCATAACTGTCACTGGCAAATGGAATGGAACTACCATATTTGTTTGGCAGACTCATTAGAATTTATGTGAACATGGCTCACTCATGGGGTTGCCAGGCGTTAGAACCAACTGAAGGGCACAAAACACACACAATCAGGATTTAATAACTCTGACTTGATAAGCTTACCTTACCTTAGAGGTATCTTAGGGGTCCATTTTTACGTTGAGTTTTTTAAAAGGGTTAAAAACTAATGACATACTTAAAGCTTAACCTGTTGTTGTTTTTACCTCTTTTCACATTTGACATTTGAAATTCCTTGGCTTCTGATAGATATGCCAGCCTGATTCTCTTGCTTCTTTGTCCGGATTTTTTTCTTTCTGTAGTTTCCTAAATCCACATCACTTACAAGGAATATCAACTATTTATATTTGCATTTATAGTAGTTTCCTACCTAATCTTTCAACCTCAATTGAAATTTTTCATTGCCTGTTAGGATCAAGTCCCAGCTTTCTACCCTGACCTCTATATCTTCTACAATCTTAATCATTCACACCACTCAACTTTCACATATCACTCTGCCCACAGTCTCTCCATTCAAAGATGTCGTTTCTTCTTTCAAATACTGTTATCCTCCAAAACCTGATGGGCTCCTCAATCTCCACAAAGACCTCCCTGACTCCCAGACCGCAGCACATCCGTTATCCTTTGTTGTCTGCATTACTTTCTCACGTGTACAGATCTGATCTCCTTACACAAAGAGATTATAAAACCTTAAACAGGAAGTTTTGTCTTGGTGTAACCACACTGTGCTAGTACCATAGTAGATGACCATTAAGTTGTTGAATAAGTGAACCATATATGATTTTCACCTCTTTACGGGAACATCTTTGCTTTTAACAGAGGATGGTGCTGATTTGGACAGCATTGAAGCAGTTGCTAATGAAGTATTGAAAATGGAAATGCCTAGCACCCCAGAGCAGCTACAGAACTTGACTGAAGATATTCGTGAACGAGTTGAAAGCCTTTCTCAAGTGGAGGTTATTCTACAGCAAAGTGCTGCTGACGTTGCCAGGGCTGAGATGCTGCTAGAAGAAGCTAAAAGAGCCAGGTATCTGAAGACACTAACAGCATTTGGGGCAGCTTATTCTGTGTATCTAGGCTGGAGTAAAAAAAGTAATTAACCAACAGAAATTTCTGAGTCTCTCTGGGTCATTTCAGGAAGGCTGCTCTTTAAATGTTTTTTTCTGAAAGAAGTACTCTTTTCATGTTCACATATAATACACTGTCTCATTCTTTTACTCAGCAAAAGTGCAACAAGTGTTAAAGTCACTGCAGACATGGTAAAGGAAGCTCTGGAAGAAGCAGAAAAGGCCCAGATCGCAGCAGAGAAGGCAATTAAACAAGCAGATGAAGACATCCAAGGAACCCAGAACCTGCTAACTTCGGTGAGATATTACAGTCATTATTATATGTAGGTGAAAGCACTCGCATGTACTCTTTTATCCGAAAGGGCCTTTGATACTTAGGAAATCCTTATAACTGAACATTAAGGATTCCTTTCACTTGAATAAAAATCTGAACTATTTCCTTAGCACAGATGCTAACAGTGACGTGTTTTCAAAGACGAAAAAGGACTCTGACAACACTGGAACATTAAGCCCCCCTTCATATTCATCATATTCACTTCCCCAAAAAGCTTAAAATAAGTTTCCTGTTCCTTCAAGAGATCCCATAGAGTCCATTCTGCAGTATGAAGTATGGTATTAATTTCAAGGTCCATTGTTAGAAAACCCCTGCTATTATGAAGCAGCCCCAAAGCAACTACATGGTTAACACCAGTGTCTTAAGATTTATGAGGTGATCATTAGTAAAATTCTACTAGTTTTGAAAAGGACTGGAAAGCAACAAAGTGTCAAAATGACAGTTTCCAATGTCCATTCTAGAGGAACCTAATAGAGATCTTAACAGCTAAACAATCTTGTGTTCAAAATGCATGGGAAACATGTTTTATAAGTAAAACTAGAGACCTGGTGCACGAAATTCATGGGGGGGGGGGTCCCTCAGCCTGGCCTGTGCCCTCTCCCTCTTGCAGTCCGGGACCCCTGCGGGGGGATCGGGCCGGCAGACATCCCCCAGGCAGTCTCGGGGCTCTTGCAGTCCCGGACCCTTCGCTCCCTACCTACCGCTGCACTCACCAGCCGTGAGCCCGGCTTCTGGCTGAGCAGCGCTCCCCCTGTGGGAGTGCATTGACCACCAGGGGGCAGCTCCTACTTTGAGCATCTGCCCCCTGGTGGTCAGTGCACGTCATAGTAACTGGTCGTTACGCTGTTTGATCAATTTTCATGTTAGGGTTTTATTATATACAATACTCTTAGAGACAACCAGATAAAGAATTTTTCACCTGCATTTAATGCTTTATTGTAAAAATCCTCTTAAAGTAATACAAACATAGTTCTTTTTTAATCAGTTCTCTAAGCAAATTTTTCCTTCCAATTTTAGGAATGTTCATTTTTTATAAAACTAGGTGAAGAAAGTTGGTGACTCACCTAATCCTTCCCCATTTTTGAGATTAGATGCTCCTAGTACTACCAGCCATCTCAGGCTAACCGCCCTTAATGATTATTAATACCTGGGAGATGGTTTATTCAAACTGCCTTCCTGCCATTAGTTGATACAAACCTCTATTGCTCTCAGTTAAGACAGGCCCAGCAGTTTATCCGCCACTTCCTCTTAAACTGTGAGCACCAATAAAGCCTTTTCTTGAGGCTACATGTTCAAATTTAGAAAATTATGTTCTAACACTATAATTATTTTTCAGTATGCTAACATGAACAGTATTTCAGGTTTTTTTTAAATTACTGTTTTGAAAAGCAAGTTAAAATATTAATCAAATTGTAGGTGAGGTGTATTTGCCTTAATGATGCATGTTAATAATGGTCTGTTTCTCAGGGAATGGGGGGACAGTAAGTGTTTTAGGTTAGTGACAAGAAATTAAGACAACTATGCTAATGAAAAGCTTGTCAGAAACGATTCACTCAACTATATGAGGCTAATGTGCTGAGTGTCCAAACGTCCGACCGGTCACTATGAGGTGCACTGACCACCAGAGGGCAGATGCTCAGCACAGGAGCTGCTGAGCTGCAGTGGTTCTTGGGTGACGCACCCCGGAACCAGAGAGGAGGGATCCCGATTCCTCACCAGGTGGCGCGATTCCACCTTCGGCTGTGGGTTATGTTGTTGCTGGGGCACTGTCAGCCCCGAATCTGGTTTACTGCACACTTGCGTTTGCATTCCAGACCCTGTATGACAGCAACTTTGCAGAGTGCCCTCTCGCACTCCAGGACCCCTCGGGGGGTCTCAGAGTTGGTTTCGGCCCATAACCCGCAGGTCAGGTCGAGGGACCCCACCTGCTGGAGGGACCCCGCTCACTCTGCAGACACTGGGGAGGGACCACGGGAGGTTGGCTCCAAGGCGTGTCCAACCTGTCTTGACCAGTCGCGCCAGCCACCTTCTAATTAATTTTCTTTCAATGTGCAGGAATCTGTGCACCGGGTCACTAGTAAAACTATAAAGCTTATCTCCTATGAATTATAACTACTCTAAGAATTTTTTTATTTTAACTTTTTAAAAAATAATTCTTTATTGTTCAGATTACAGTTGTTCCTCTTTTTTCCCCCCCATAGCTACCCTTCACCCGGTTCCCACCCCATGCCCTTACCCCCCACCCATTGTCCTCGTCCATAGGTGTAAGACTTTTGTCCAATCTCTTTCTGTACCCCCACACCCCCTTTTCCCCCCGAGAATTGTCAGTCCACTCCCTTTCTATGCCCCTGATTCTATTATATTCACCAGTTTATTCTGTTCTTCAGGTTATTTGATTTTTAGATTCACTTGTTGATATGTATTTGTTGTCACTTTGTTGTTCATAATTTTTATCTTTACCTTTTTCTTCCTCTTCTTAGAGAATACCCTTCAGCATTTCATATAATACTGGTTTGGTGGTGATGAACTCCTTTAGCTTTTTCTTGTCTGTGAAGCTCTTTATCATTCAGAATTGAAGGTCAGATAGCTTTGCTGGGTAGAGTAATCTTGGTTGTAGGTTCTTGCTTTTCATCACTTTGAATATTTCTTGCCACTCCCTTCTGGCCTGCATAGTTTCTGTTGAGGAATCAGCTGATAGTCGTATGGGTACTCCCTTGTAGGTAATTAACTGTTTTTCTCCTGCTGCTTTTAATATTCTTTGTCTTTTGCTCTTGGCATTTTAATTATGATGTGTCTTGGTGTGGTTCTCTTTAGATTCCTCTTGTTTGGGGTTCTCTGTGCTTTCTGGACTTGTAGGTCTATTTCTTTCACCAGGTAGGGCAAGTTTTCTGTCATTTATTTCTTCAACTAGGTTTTCAATATCTTGCTCTCTCTCTTCTTCCAGCACCCCCATAATTCGGATGTTGGTACGCTTGAAGTGGTCCCAGAGGCTCCTTACACTATCTTCATATTTTTGGATTATTTTTTCTTTTTGCTTTTCCAGTTGGTTGTTTTTTGCTTCTTTGTATTTCAAATCTTTGACTTGATCCTCTCTTCTGTTGGATCTCTGTATATTATTCTTTATTTCAGTCACTGTATGCTTAATTTCTGATTGGTCCTTTTTCATATCCCTGAGGGTCTCACTAAATTTCTCAGAGGTTTCTAGAAGATTCTTGAGTAACCTTATAACCGTGGTTTTGAACTCTATATCCAGTATTTTGCTTTCATCCATTTCTTTCATTTGTGACTTGTTTCTTTGTTGCTGCATTTTGGCTGCTTCCCTGTGTTTGTTTCTATGTACTGGTTAGCTGCTAAGTCTCCTTGAGTTGATAGAGTAGCCTTGTGTGGTTGGTGTCCTATAGGGCCCAGTGGCTCAGCCTCCCCAGTCACCTGAGGTAGATGCTCTTGGTGCAACCTTTTGTGGGATGTTTGCGCGGTCTTGTTGTAGTTAACCCTTGATTGCTGTTGGTATCACTGGGAGGAATTGACCTCCAGGCCAACTGACTGTGGTGACCAGCTGTGTCTACAGTGGAAGATCTGTTGTGCAGGAAACACCCTCATGGGGCAGGACTTGCTTCAGTAGGGCTTTGGTGCTGAGTCTGCCCCTTGAGTGTGTCTCTTATAGATGTGAAGAGTTGTAATCCGTTATCATCTCCAAGGAGGTGCAAGGTCAGTCACTGTCTAGGGCCTCCCAGCAGGAGCTACAGAGACATCTGCAGATTCCTCCTTTTTGTATGGGGTTTGGAAGTGCCCAAACAAGGCCCAGCTGTGAAGCAAGGCTGTTGCTGCTGCCAGGTAGTGGGCCTTCTTTTGGAATCTCTGGGGTTCTCTGACCCAGCTGCAGTTTGTTTTAGGCAAATGGACAGGCCATTCATATGCAAAAGCCGATGCGCACAGCTTGGGTGGGGTTGTAAATTGGGTGGGGTGGGGTCTCTGGGAATCACCAGGGCAGAGCAAACAGCAATGGCTGCCCTGAACCGGAGAAGTCCCTGGTTCTCCGCGCCCCACGCAGGAACAATGATTACTGCAAGCACCTCTAAGAGTAAGCTGCCCTCACGTTTCTGTCCCAATGCCAGATAGTCTAGTTTCTCCCCGTATGTGCCTGGGTCCCCCCAAGTCTTGCCTGTATCTCCCTCCCAGTTTAAAGAACAGCACATCCGCCCTGACCGGTTTGGCTCAGTGGATAGAGCGTCGGCCTGCGGACTGGAGTCCCAGGTTCGATTCAGGTAAAGGGCATGTACCTTGGTTGCAGGCACATTCCCAGTTGGGGGTGTGCAGGAGGCAGCCGATTGATGTTTCTCTCTCATCAATGTTTCTAACTTCTCTATCCCTCTCCCTTCCTCTCTGTAAAGACATCAATAAAATATATTTTTAAAAATAAAAAAGAACAGCACATCCAGGTGCCAGCACTTTCCGCGTCTCTGCACCTCTTACCGGTCTCAATGCGCTTTCTTCACTTCTCTAGTTGTAGAATTTCCACTCAGCCAGCTTTCCCGTGGTTCTGGGTGGTAGTTGTTCTGCCGTTTAGTTGTAATTTTGATGTGGTTGTGAGAGGCAGCATATATAGGTGATTACCTATGCCGCCATCTTGGTTTATCCGCCTCTAAGAATTTTTCTAAGTTAATTAATAGATAAACTTTTAGGTTAAGAATCATTTGGTTTGAAATACAAATTTTAGTTTCACTATGGCATTATTATTACTCAGAGATAATCCTATGGAAATAGACCCATCCTTAAGAATCATTTCTAAGAAAAAGGGAGTGCTGAGTGAAACTGGTTTTTCTATCATGGGCCAGATTGCTTACTTTGGCTAGTCTTAAAAAAAAAATCAATGTTTATTCATTATACTTTGAAATCAAATGTGGATTTTTCGCCAGTTGCCCAGATGATGTTTTTCCCCTAACTAACTTTATTTACAGCTCCCATTTCCCAATCCTATCAGTAATTGTGCAGTCTTAACATTCCTGGTCTCCATGTCTTCAGTCATTAATTTTACAGGTAGTTTCTGAAGTGCCATAAACTCCATTACTAGAGTTTCCTTTCAAGTTGATAGAAAAAAATAAAGGTGACTGGAAGTTATAATTTTCCCACAAACATTTGGCAGTTTATGTGGAAATCCCTCTTCTCACATCTGTTTGTGATCATTGGCCAACATTTGCAGATGTCCTTAAAGTGCTTCTCAACACATCAAGCTGCCTGGGGTGGTTCTTACCCTAAGGAGAAACTTCATGTGCATTTCAGCCTAGATCACCAGAAGTACCAAAAGTATACAGTTACCATGAGATGTGTCAAACACCATTTAAAGTTGGGCACTTTACTATGCTTCCTTGAAATTATATTTTCTTTTTAATAATTACTTCTTTTCGTCTAGAATAAAATGGCATAGCAGTCTTTCAAATCTTCCTAGAAACTTATGTTCATAGCACTTCCTACCACCTCTTAGGTTAATGGCTTGCTGAATGACTGACATTATATTTTTAGATTGAGTCTGAAACAGCAGCTTCTGAGGAAACCTTATTCAACGCCTCCCAGCGCATCAGCGAGCTGGAAAGGAATATGGAAGAACTTAAGCGGAAGGCAGCACAAAACTCTGGAGAGGCAGAATATATTGAAAAAGTAGTCTATGCTGTGAAACAAAGTGCCGAAGACGTTAAAAAGGTAAGTACATCTCTGTCACTTCATGGCTGTGTTGATCAAGGAGCAACTAGTCTCACTGCCTTCCTTGGAATTAAAAAGGAGCACGGCCCTAATATGGTTAGTCATCAGAAACTTCCAAATGACCTGTTCCGACACAGCAGTCTTTAAAGACACAGATGGAAAAGAATGGAAGTGGATATGAAAAGTATCCAATAAGCATGACCTAGATCCTCAAATCCAAATGTAGACAGGGTTTGGAAAAATGAAATTAACTTAGGGGTGGAAGTCTTAAAACAAGCATATTGAGCATCTATTTCTGTATTTCAATCAGGAAGATCTTTATGGCATACAGTAATTACCTGGCCACTTGAGAAATCATTAAAGAGTTCACAACAGAGAGCAACTAGTAGGAGGGGAACCAACATCTCACCCCTTCCACACTCATTTTGAATTAAACCCCCCTTCTCTTGCTTCTCACTGGAAGGTACTCTAATTTTGCAGAGAAAATCTCACATGACCCAATTTTTTCACCAAGAAGCCAAGTAATTTATTTCTAAATTGTCTGGGTTTTATTTCCAAGGAACGCTTTTAAACTTTTGGGGAGAATGTTCACACTATAGGGAGTTATAACTAAAATTAATTTCAAGATTTTTCTTGAAATTACTTTGGCTTTGGGGTGGGAACTTGTATCTCCCTCCCAGTTTAAAGAACAGCACATCCAGGTGCCAGCACTTTCCGTGTCTCCGCACCTCTTACCGGTCTCAATGCTCTTTCTTCACTTCTCTAGTTGTAGAATTTCCACTCTACCCTATACCTCTTGGGTCAGGGAAAAGAACAAAACAATAAGAAAATTTCACTTCCACATCTTTCTTTTCCACTCGTTTCCTGCAGTTCTGAGAGCATGAATTTCCCAAATAATCTTCTCACAGATCATTTTGCATACATGACATTGATTACAATAAATAGGGACAAAACCCCTTGACGTGAAATTCCTATTAACAGTGGCTATTGTTCAAAGTGTTTCTCAAAAGAATCACTTGTAACCATCTTTCCAAACCTACACCAATTTCTCCTCTCAACCACCCACATATGCTATCATCTCACCCTTCCTTTAATTAAACCTGTCTTTTCCCCAATTTCTTAGTAACAAGTCTCTACAAACCCTAAATTAGTCAAGAATCCAGATGGCCCTCCTTCCATTTCTTCAAAATGAGCCCTTTTTGAAATTTAAATGTTTGAATCTCAGCACATCTACTTTTGAGAAACTCCTACTCTCTCTACAATGTCTCCATAGAAAAGTGCTAATCAGCAGGAGAGGGCTTAGCCCTAGAGACCTGTTAAAACTCCAAAATGTTTTTAAAAGTTATGTCAATATTGTATGTAATTCCACTGTTTCAATTGTTTACCACTGAATAGCTTGAAGCCTGAGCCCCCTTGATGGGGGCCCTTAATCCAGAATGCTTGCTGTCCAAGTTAATACCTGTGTGACCCAAGCTTGCCACAATTATACTACTGTTGTTATATGTAATTACTGACACTAACATTATCACTTCGTGTGTCTAAATGTGGGACTGCAGATTCTGGATGGTGAACTTGATGAAAAATATAAGAAAGTAGAAAATTTAATTGCCAAAAAAACCGAAGAGTCAGCTGATGCCAGAAGGAAAGCTGAAATGCTACAAAATGAAGCAAAAACACTTTTGGCTCAAGCAAACAGCAAGCTTCAGCTCCTGAAAGGTAGGTCTGTTCACCTAGGTTCATGCTTTCACAAAGCATTTAAAAATAAATACATTAATAGTTTTTTATTTAAAAGGTGAAAATCCATTCACTTTGTCTCAGGCACTTAATAAAACCTTATAAGCAAAGATAATTATTAGGTTTTGAGATCATCACAGTATAAACTGCTCAGGCTTTTTCTTTTTCTCTCTCACAGATTTAGAAAGAAAATATGAGGACAATCAAAAATATTTAGAAGATAAAGCTCAAGAATTAGAAAGACTGGAAGGAGAAGTCCGTTCACTCCTGAAGGATATAAGCCAGAAAGTTACTATTTACAGCACCTGCTTGTAATGAAGGAGGAAGGGCTATAAGACAGCTGAGGTGACCAAAGTAAAATAACTACATTTAAAAACTGACTTACTGATCTTCAAAGTAAAACTCATGGCCTATTTAATGTTTTTAATCACATTTTGTATGGAGTTTAATAAAGTACAGTGCTTTTGTATAAATATGTTTAGTATATTTCTTAAATTGTTACTTTTACTGATTTTAGTGTTCATGAATCCCTTGAACAAAGAATGTTATTTTCACTGTAAAGATGGATTTATAAACAAGTTGATTGCCTCCATGGAGCCCAATGTCTGTTGTCTATAAACAAGCTATTATTCATCTCTTTGCTAAGTCAATATCCTCCATAAATCCACCCCAAACCACCTCCCAGGCTAGAGCTGGAGCTACTTGCACAATTTCAGCGGCTGCTTAGTTACTCCAATCTCCAAAACTCCCATAGTATTCCTTGCTCTAGGAAAAAGAACAAAAAGCAATTTTTAGAAAACTGTGGCTTTTAAGTATTACCACCTAGAACAGGTTCGGGGTTACTCTGGGGAAGGTTTAAATTAAAGCGGGCCAGAGTTTAGAAAGTATAGAATGAGACTGTAATTTCTCAGCTTTTATATTGTATTTTAACTCACAAACTACAGATTCTTTGCTAAGATCTGTAGGTGAGGGAGGCCAAGACAATCATAGGACAATCACTTACTCTACAAGGGTAAAGAAAATAACGGGAATACAATTGCCAAGCCTTTGTCAACTTTATAGCTGAGCTAGCTGGGTAACAGGCCAGGCCCTGGTTTTTTCACACATTCTTCAACAACCATTCTGTGTACTACTTACCCACCCACACATCTAACACAGCTGCATTCGAAGCTGGGCCTGAACAAAAGTTATGTAAACAGCTGTAATTTAAACAATAAGGCAACTTCCCTCTGGTTCGAGGCAGTTGTCACTTTAAGAAAGTGGTCATACCGCATCACCTACTAGAGAAACTATTTTTCCCCCTATGTATTTTACTTAAAATAGACACTGTCACTACTTCCCCACTCCCATACAGCTAAACAACCAAAGATCTCACATTGAAACTACGAATTTTAATCAGCTTAATGAACTGGACAATGAGCTCAGCCCCACCTTTCACAAGCCAAGAAAGTATTTCAAACTTCTAAAACAAATTTTAAATGTTCACTTACTGTTTACTCAGTCCCACCCCAATAAATTTGCATTCCCATATTGAATGGGAATCCTTAAAGTTGAATTTAACTATTACTTTGTGTCTCTCTATAGCTAGGACTTCATATTAAATTGTATTTCAGTATTCCCTAATTAGAAACTTTTTCCCTAGAGTTTGAGGTTTAAATAAACTAGCACTTCACATAATATTGGGATTTCAAAAAAATGGCAAATAGCATATATCAGACCAACACTCTTGCTGATAACTGCAAACTCTACACAAAATGTGTTTTTCCCCCCTAAAGATATTAGAGATTAACCAAGCAGGCAGAGGGGAGTTGACACTGAAGAAAGATCAACATTGTATGAAATTCCCATTTTTAACAATTTTTCACTTGAGGGGAGATCCCAGTAAGTGGCAACTTTTAGGCAGAAGCCAAGTTTTACTGGTTCAAGACTAGGAGGACAGAATTTAGGGCAACCAAAGCAGTTGAAATATGAAGGAGGGAAACACCAGAAAAGCAAGAGGCACAGGAGAGGACCCCCAAATTGTGCCCAATCTCTGGTTGACCAGATAACTATACATGCAATGAACAGACAGTCAGGTGAAGGTAAAACACCCGAATAGAGATCTCGGCAGCTGTCCCCCACAAAGACAAATTCGGAGTGGAGTTCAGCCAAGTTAACTGCCCACTGAAACAAAAAACCACTATTTTTAAGTATGTAACAGAATCCAGAGTCTTTACATAGTATCATTCATAAGAATCATGTACAATCCAGGACCACTGGACATAAGAAAAAGGAAAATATGACCCATGTATAATATGATTAAAACCTGAAAAATACTAAAGATTCTCTTTTTAGCTATGATCAACTGATGGTATTGCATTCTATACAGCTTTATGCTGATAAATTATATTCTCCCAACTTTTCCTTAAGACTAATATAACCTTTAAATTTTAATCAAATGAATATCTAGTTTGCCTATTCCTGGTATTTGAAGACAGCTTATTTTCCTCTTTAAATTCATGCTATCCCAAATTGGAGAACTATTTAATCTAAAATGATTCTTAAATTTAGTTAATACATGCAAAAGCCTATTTGTCATTTAACACCATTAAATATTTCAAGAAAGGCCATCTTAAATATTTACCAATAAATAAAATTTTATAACTTTAAAGAAACAGTTTACACTTTAAAGAAACAGTCATTTACCCAGCCAAGAACACAATGAAAATCTACATAGGAAAAGACAGATTAAAGATTCGCTTACATTGTTTCTCCAAAAGTACAAGCTAAACATTTTGTAGGTATCACCAAAACAGATGGAAGGGTAATGACCTTTTAAATGTCTTAATACTACAATGTGGGGGAAAGGTACACCAAGCTTCTAAGAGCTACTAGTGGCCCAGTACACGAAATTTGTGCACGGGGGTGGGGGTCCCTCAGCCCGGCTTGCACCCTCTCCAATCTGGGACCCCTCAGGGGATGTCTGATTGCCGGTTTAGGGATTGGGCCTAAACCGACAGTCGGACATCCCTCTTGCAATCCGGGACTGCTGGCTCCTAACCGCTCGCCTGCCTGCCTAAACACCCCTAACCACTCTGCCTGCTTGCCTGATCACCCCGAACTGCCCCCGCCTGCCGGCCTGCTCGCCCCCAACTGCCCCTCCTCCACCGGCCTGCTTACCCCCAACTCCCCCCACCCTGCTGACCTGCTCAACCCCAACAGCCCCCCCTTGCCGGCCTGATTGCCCCCAATTGCCCCCCCCCACCAGCCTGATCGCCCCCAACTGCCACCCCTTCTAGCCAGCCTGCTCGCCCCTAACCGCCACCATGGCTTTGTCCAGAAGGTCTCCCAGTCTAATTAGCATATTACCCTTTTATTAGTATAGATAATAAAGAAAATAAGCCCTGGTCAGGTGGCGCAGTCAGTTGGAGTGTTGTCGTATATACCAAAATGTTGCCAGTTTGATTCCCTGTCAGGGCACATACCTAGATCGCGGGTTCAATCCCAGGTCAGGGTGCATATTGGAGGCAACTGATCAATGTTTCCTTCTCTCTCTCTTTTCATCTCTCTAAAAATAAAAAATTACAAACATGTCCTTGGGTGAGAATTTAAAACAAAAAATTAAGCTTACAATGGAATACAGTATGGATGGACCTGGAGATTATTATGCTAAGCAAAATAAGCCAGTCGGAGAAAGACAAGTATCACATGATCTCACTTATATGTGGAATCTAATGAACAAAATAAACTGATGCACTAAATAGGTCCAGAGACATGAAAGTATGGAACAGACTGACAGAACTCAGAGTGAAGGGGTGGTGGGGATGGAAAGAGGTTAACCAAAGAAGTTATATGCATAGTCCATAGACATAAACAATAGTGTAGTGAAGGCCTGGGGTGGGGCAGGAGCCAGGTGGAGGGGGGTAAAGGTTAGGGAGAGAGGGAATGGAAGACATCTATAATACTCTCAACAATAAAAATAAATTTTTTAAAAAAGTAGTAAGAATGCACAAGAGGTAGTCATAAAAGAACTCAGATTATCTTGATATCCACTCAATAAATGAATATTTAAGAAATGTTTATTTTCATATCTTCATTCCCCATTATAATACATGAGTGGCTATTTAACATTTGAATACCTCCTAAATGTGGTTAACTATATACTTCAGACTACAGACTTTGATGGTAGTTTAAAAATCTAAACACATAAATTCTACCTCTAAACTGCAAGAATTTCGGTATTAAATAAACCAAGTGAGAGACAATCATTTTTTATTTACATGAGTTCAGTTTATACATATTTAAATCTTATTTTAATGACTGACTCTTATGTCCAATACTGAAAACCAAGTTTAAAATAACTTGATCACCTTGCTTCAAACATACTTTCACATCCCATACTCCAGCTCCATCCATGTAATAAGTAAATCCAACTTTACTATACCAGGGATAAAAGCTAATTAACAAATTCAGTGAGGTTGAACCTTATACAAACAGCATGGAAATATGCGTTAAAAAATTTTCCAGAGTGCTACTATAAGTAGCATTTCTTTTGCAATATTAATGTACTAAAACAAAATATTAAATTTATTTAAAATGTAGCTATGACATCATTCCATTCTGTTCAAACCTGTTAAATACCTTCCAAAAGTTTCATAATTCAGTCCTAGAATTTCTTGGAGCTGTGAGCATATCCTGTTCAGAAATGTGATCTCTTAAACCCTCAGGAAATTTCAGAAAAATATAATCTCCAAATTTAAAAGTTGATTGGTTTGCCAAATGATGCAGCCAGGTTTGCTTCTCTAAAAGCTTCTGATAAGGTCTGCAAGAGGAGAAATTTAATATTAAAAATCAAGGACTTGTGTCAGAAGAAAATAGAGTAGCTATTAATTCTGTTATGTTGTTAATAATTACCGGATGTGCATGACAGACTCTAGCTATATCTTCACAGGATGCCCCATATTCCAATGCAAGAGCAGCTTCATTTACCATTTCACCAGCACCCTTTAAAATAGTAAGCCAAAAAATAATTTTATTTCCTTGGCAAAAACAACTACACACTAAGGGGAGATTAGTTGTAAGAGCAGTTAACTAACTTCTTCCACTCACTCAGGAAAAGCTTAACAGAAAAAGGTGGCACAGAAGTCAAGAGCTTGGACTCTGGATTCAAATTATACCACTTACTACCTCAACTACTCACAGACTACTTCATTACATTTATTTGCCTCAAAAATGGGAATAGCAAATTCCTACCTCATAGAGTTGTGAAAATTAAAGTTAATGCATGTATTTAGGAAAGATTACAGAGTAGGAACTCAAATGTTCTACTTTCATTACTGTTACATCAGATACCTAGGGGGAGGGCATGTTTCAGATTTAGTGGTAGGGAAAGGCTTCTCTTAAAAGGTAACACGAGCTGAGACGCGAACAATAAAGGAGCCAATCACACAAAGATAGAGGCAGAGCATTCTAAGCAAAGGGTATTACTATAAACACAAAAGTTCTAACCAGGAAAAAAATTTGACCTCTTATGAAATCGAGAGAAAGTCCAAAAAGGAAAAGCAGAAAGAGATGAAGCAGAAAGGTAGGCAGGACCAGATTCAGGGAGGATTTCTAA